TGTCGACGGAGGACCTGAGGAGAGAGGTGGAGGAGATCCGCAACGAAGTGGACTTGAGGGAGCATGCGAGGGAGAACGGGTGAGTGAGGAGAGCAGAGGTTGGGTCGACGGCCCTCGCTTACGTTTACGTTTTCGTTTCGCTGCGTGCTGACTGCGTTTCTTTTCCGGCCTCGTCTGCGTTTTTCTTCTGTCCCCAGGTACCAGATCGTGAGCATGAACGCGGGGGAGGAGCCACCTTTAGGGGCGACGCCCGTGAACGCGGGGGAGGGCGAGCTCAAGTACACCAACGGCGACACGTACAAGGGTGAGATCGTGAACAACCTGCGCCACGGGAAGGGCAGGCACCTCTGCTCGACTGGCGACTATTACGACGGGTCCTGGCGGTTCGACAAGAGAGAGGGCCACGGCTCGATGGTCTTCGCGAGCAAGCTGAGGTACGAGGGCGACTGGAAGGACGACAAGGCGCACGGCCACGGCGTCTGCTACTACCCGAACGGGCAGAGGTACGAGGGGGAGTGGGAGAAGGACCAAAAGTGGGGCTGGGGCAAGCTTGAGATTCCGGTGGCGGAGGGCGAGGCCAACGTCAAGTGGGAGTCTTACGAGGGGGAGTGGTCGAACAACGCGATGGATGGGAGGGGGAGGTACACGTTCGTGGACGGATCTTATTACGAGGGCGAGTACAAGCAGGGCCAGAGGACCAAAGGAAAGTTCGTGTCCAGCGACGAATCCATCGAGTACACGGGCGGCTGGAAAGACAACATGAGGCACGGCTTCGGAACCTTCTTTCAGAACGGGGTGCAAAAGTACTTTGGAGAGTGGCGAAAGGACCTGAAGCATGGCCGAGGCAAGTGCGAGTACAGCGATGGGGTGGCTTACGACGGGGACTGGGTCGGGGACAAAATGCAGGGCACCGGCAAGTGGACTTTTGGCGGGGAGAAGTACGAGGGGGGCTTCGGGGACAACAAGAGGGAGGGAGATGGCACGTGCACTTACGACGACGGATCGCGTTACCAGGGCGCGTGGAAGGATGGCAAGCGCCACGGCAAGGGCAAGCACCTTTTCAGCAATGGCGACCTCTACGAAGGGGACTGGAAGGACGACGAGAGGGATGGAAAGGGCGCCTGCAAGTACCACAACGGCGACAGGTACCAAGGGGAGTGGAAGGCAAACAGAAGGGAGGGGCACGGCGTGTGCGTCTTTCAGGACGGGACAAAGTACAGGGGGGAGTGGGTGGGAGACAAGTGGGTTCAAAGCTCCGCCGACCCAGAGTTCACCAAGGTCTTTGGTCCGGGCCTTGCCCAGGGAACCGCCGGGGCCAAGACGGTGTTTGGGATTCAGGCCTACGACGAGGACCAGAACAAGAGGCTGTGCGGGGGGGATGCCTTCTGCTGCACGCTGGAGGGGCCTGCTGAAGTCCATGCGGACGTGGTGGACCACGGGGACGGTACCTATGCGATCCAGTACACCGCGGAGTTGTCCGGGGACTATGAGCTGTTCATCACCATCGGCGACGACGAGCTCGTAGGAAGCTCTCCCTACCAGGTCAAGATACTCCCAGGGAAGCCGTGCCCGAAGCGATGCACCGTGTCGGGCAGCGGCCTTCGCTCCGCCAGAGCTGGCGTGGTCTCCGAGTTCTATGTTGAGGCCAGGGACGAGCACAAGAACCTGTGCGTGGGGTCCGCCCCGGACATGAAGCTCGGCGTCAGCATCACCTCTGCCGCCGGGGCGATCGAGGCGGATGTCGAGCCCCGCCAAGATGGTACGTTCAGGTGCAGCTACACGCCAGTCCAAATCGGCTTTTACAGGATAGAGATCTCTTCCGGAAGAGATCTCATTGGTTCCAGCCCCTACAGCCTGGAGGTCGAAGTCTCCAGCAGGGAGAAGGCCGAGGAGCCAGTCCCAGACGTCATCGCCAAGTGGGGGAGCATCGCGCAGGCCGAGTACGCGGCGGACGGAGATTCCGACGGCTGGGACTCCGAGCCAGAGGAGAAGGAGACCGCCGAAGAGAAGTACGTTCGAGAGCATCCCGACGTCGCCGTGGTGGACAACTTGGAGGACATGTGGAAGGTCGGCAGGTACCAGGCGGAGAAGAAGGCGCTCGAGCGAAAGGAGAAGGAGAGGAGGTTGGCAGAGTTGCGCCAAAGGCTGGAAAAAAAATATAAAAACAACGTTTAAGAGCTGGAAAGAGAGGACGGCGGCCAAATTTAGATCATAATAGCATAGAGAGAGAGAGAGAAATAATATTATTCTTCTAGTCTTAGGTCTAGTTATTATTACAACACGCAGCAGCAGGATCAAAATCTTGCTTACATTGCTATCATTATTTACACACGCTTTCGCTTTGCTTTGTTGTACACACGCGCGCGCGCGCGCGCAAGGAGGACGGCGGACTCATCATCACCATCACCATCATCGCCGCGCGCGCACAAATGCTGCGTTCCTTGCAATCCCTCGCAAGAGAGAGAATCTGCCTTACCTCCTCTTGTACTTCTTCTTGCTCTTGAACGCCTTTGCCGGCTTGCCGCCGCGCTTCCTTCTGTTGGCCTCCGTCTTTTGGACCTTGCTTGCCCTGGGCTTGAATCCCTCGTCCTCGTCCGCGTCCTTCTTCTTCTGCTGCTGCTGCTGAGACTGGCTCTTTCGCTTCCTGGACACGCTCTCGTTCCTTGCGATGATGGTGTTCATGGCCCTGTTGGGCTCGAGGCCCTGGTTGCGGAGCTTCTTCTCCTGGCTCTTGGAGGCCCTCGCCATGCTCGTGGAAAGGAACTGCTTGGCCTGCTCGGCCTTCTTCTTCTTGTCCCTCTCCTCCTGCTTCTTCCTCTTGTTGTTGCTGCTGATGCCCTTTCTCCTGTCCTCGTACTCCTCCCGGGCGGCGTCCTGGGTCTGCTTCTTGTCCTTCTTGCTCTGGAACCACGTCTTGGCCGGCCTCGCCATGATCTCGTTGTGGTGCTCCACAAGGTTCTCGGCCCTCAGGGCCTCCATCTCCGCCTTTTGCAGGATCCTCTCCTGCTTCTCCTCCAGCATAATCTTGGCGATGTCCTCCGCCATGGCGGCGATGGCCTCGGTCCACTTGTCGATGGTCTCGTCCGCCACGATCCTCTGCTTGAGCTTCTTCCCGCTGTGCTTCACGATCTGCTTGATCAGGGCCCGGTTGCTCGGGTCGAGGAAGGTGACCGCCCGGCCTCCCCGCCCCGCCCTCGCCGTCCTTCCGATCCTGTGCACGTAAGTCGTCACCACGTCAGGCTCGTCGAAGCTGATGACGTTCTCCACCCCGAGGATGTCCAGGCCCCTCGAGGCCACGTCGGTGGCGAGGAGGAACTTGGCGGCCCCCGCGCGGAAGTCCTCGAGCGCCCGCAGCCTCTGGGCCTGGGACATGTTCCCGTGGAGCTCCGAGGCCTGCAAGCCCGCGAGCCCGAAGATCAGCTTGAGCCTGTGGGCGCACTGCTTCGTCCTGGCGAACACGACGGTCTTCTCCTTGAAGAGCCTGGTGCAGAGGGACATGAGGATGGCCTCCTTCTTGCCGGCGAGGGCGCCCTTGAGGAGCACCGCCTCCTGCTGCAGCAGTTGGGGCGTGGCGTGCTTGGGGTCCACGGCGACCCTCACGGGGTTCCTCAGGGACAGGGCCACGAGCTCCTGGACGCTTTGGGTCATCGTGGCCGAGAACAGCAGGGTCTGCCTCCGCCCCGGGCAGTGGGAGATGACCTCCCTGACCTGCTCCTGGAACCCCAGCTCCAGGAGCCTGTCCGCCTCGTCCAGCACGAGGGTGGACATGTCGTCCAAGTCGACCGACCTGGTGTTCGTCAGGTGGTCGATCAGCCTGTTCGGCGTGGCGACCACGACCTCCGGCTTGGTCCTCAGGGCCTGGGCCTGGGTCTGCATAGAGAGCCCCCCGATGACGAGGGAGAGGCGGACGGGCGAGGGGTTCTTCGCGAACGTCGCCAGCTTCTCGAGCATGCTGTGGGTCTGCACCGCGAGCTCCCTGGTCGGCACGAGGACGAGGACGTAGGTCGCCTTGACGTGCGCGGGCCTGTGGAGCAGCCGCTCCAGGAGCGGCAGCCCGTACGCCGCCGTCTTCCCCGAGCCGGTGATGGCCGAGGCCACGAGGTCCCGGCCCGACAGCACGAGCGGAACGCAAGCCGACTGATTGATTGATTGATTGATTGATTGATTGATTGATTGATTGATTGATTGATTGATCGATTGATGGTTGGAGCAAGTAAGGAAATGGAGTCGAAGAAGAAGAGAGGGATGACATGACAAGGTGGTTTGAGTCCGTCAGTCCGTCGGTCCGTCAGGAGAAGGCGGTGTCACTGCTTTTAGCTGGTTTTCGCGAGTCGGAAAAAACGGTATTATCTCGTTCAGCGTCCGCAGGGGACTCAAGAAGGGGAATCCATGATAGGAAATCGTCATCCTCGCAGCAGCAGCAGCAGCAGCACCAGCAGCAGCAGCAGCAAAACAAAACACGCACAACACACGCACACGCACACGCACACATACCTGAATCGGGGTCGGGGTGGAGAACCCGAGGGTGGTGCACGCCCTGCACAAGACCCGGGACAAGTTGAGGTCCGCGAACGAGTCGCTGGGAGAGTCGCTGGGAGAGTCGAGGCGGCCGTGGGGGTGGTGGTGCTCGAAGAACCCACCGTCGTCCTCATCCTCGCCCCCCTCGACGCCCGCCCCGCTCGAAGCCGCCCTCGCCCCCTTCCTCCTCCGGATCTTCTCGTCCGTCGTCGTGAACGTCCTCGTCTTCCGCTTCACCGCCAGCGCGTCGTCGATCGCCGTCCCGAGCTCCCAGGGAGACGAGGACGACGAAGGCCGCCGCGGAGAAGAAGCAGGACCAGGGTCGAGGACGGAGTCGAACACGAACGAGGGATCCATTTCGTCGACTGTGGCTTTCGCCGCTTCCTCGCTCTGGCGGCCGCGCAGACTTTTTTTTTGTTTTGTGTTGAGGTGGTGGTGGTGGCGACACAGAATATAGCGTCTGAAATGTCGGTAGTAAACTGGTGCCCATAGTATAGTGGTTAGTATTTCTCGTTGTGGCCGAGACGACCCGTGTTCGACTCACGGTGGGCACACACAATTCTCTCTCAGATGAAAGACAATTGAACTGTTCTACAGAAAATCGGATGGAGAGATCCATCTAAGACGGGCCAACTACACAACGGCGAGCAAACAAAATAAAAGCTTGCCTCACCACCTCTTCTTATGCTCCGTGAGACAATGGTTCGATGAGAGACGTTACTTATACCAGGATCACAACGAGATCGTAACGGCGGAGGACGGCGAGGAGGACGGCGAGGTGTGTGACCTGGCGGGAGCTGGAGAGAGAAAGAGAGCCGCCGTAACGCCAGAGCCGCGAACGAGGCGGCCGACGAGTGGGGACGAGAAGACCACGACCAGAGAGAAAGCGATGAGTTACCTCCTGGAATACTTCGGCCACTGGTTGCCGACGAAGAAGAGGAGACTGACGAATACTGGGACGTCATGTGAAGAAGGGGCTGGTGGCGCCACCCCGGCCGCGGTTCTCCAGGGGGGTGGCGCCCAAGGATGGCGGGTGGCGCCCAAGGATTGTGGTGCCAATGTCTCTGTCTTCACCCACTTGCAGGGCAGCGGGCAGCCGTGCGGCGCGGTGGCACTCGGAACAAGCCTGGACACCAACGCTTGCACAGTGGCCCTGGCGATCTCCGCGGGACCTCATAGGGAGCGGGAGATGGCCGCCATCGAGGAAAACGTGGATCCGACGACGCTTCTCAATGCGGATGGACTTATTACCTCTCTTCGCTTCGCAGACGAAGTACCTGGCCCGCCGCCCACCCTTGCACGCGAGGGTACACGGGCGGAGCGAACTCGCGAGCCTGAGGAGCTGACCCTGGTCCGCGTGGTCCGAGGCCGTGGCGGAGTCTACCTGGAGCTCGTTGAGGGCTTGAAAGAACTGACCCACTGCATCGTCTTCCTCCGCGAGTCCCTTGCGCAGGAGGGGCTTGGGAACAAGCTCGCTGGTCAGGCGGCCACGATCTCAAGCGCGTTGCTCGGCAAAGATCTTCCTAAACAGGTGAAAGCATTTCGTTTCGTGGAGCTTGGGACCGCCAGCCGCTCGCGATGCCTCAAGGACCGCAAAGTTCTTACGAAAGCTCTTGCCCTTGCGAAGGAGAAGGGCGAGCCTTGCGCGCTTCTTGTAGCTGCCTTGTCGCGATTGTCGAGACGGCCACAAGCTTACAAGGACCTCGACTACCTTGCTGAGCGCGCAGGGCAGGCCTCTATACTGGCGTGTATCCCGACGTTCCCTCTCGAACGAGCGAAACACCCACTGGAACCAATCCAAACTGAAGCAAGGCATCTGCTTGAACAACCTCTCTTTCTCCAGGTCCGTCTCCAGAGGAAGACGACCCTTCTTCTTCTTCTTCTCCTCCCCCTCATCCTCCGTTCTCGTCACCGCCTCGAAAAAGGTCCTGCAGGTCAACCCCAAAGCGAGGCGGTCGTACGGGTGCACGTGCTTGTCAACGACGAGCCACACGTCCTTTAGCAGCACGCCCAACGCATCCCTGCCCTCCTCTCTCTGCCTCTTGCTCTCTCTCTCATCTCCTCCATCGGCGTTTCGTCTCTCTCTCTCTCTCTCTTCAAATTTAGGACGGAACTGGCAAACCCGGACTGTCTGACGACGACGACGACGACGACGACGACGGAGGAGGGAGGGCAACACGACTCAACTCCAGCCCCAAGCGGCTGTCGAACCTCGGACCCAACAACGCAAAACCACCGCCGCTCCAAAGATCGCATCTTTGCCAACGATACAGCTCTCTTTCTTTTCTCTTGAGTTGTTGAGATCGACATGAGCAGCAGCTTGGACTCGCAGCAGGAACGGAGTCGTCGGAGTCCCGTGATCGACGTGGACAGGTTCCTGAGGATCGGCAGGCAGGCGGGCAAGGGGCGGGAGAGGAGGGCCAGGGTCGTCGACCGCAGGTCGGACAAAGATGATGCTTCTGCTTCCTCCTCCTCCTCCTCCTCCTCATGCTCGTACGTCTCGGAGCCCGCGAGGCGGGTGAGGGTCGCGGAGAGGGCGGACGTGCTCGTGGTGGGCGGGGGTTGCGCCGGCCTCGCCGCCGCCGTCGCCGCGAAGAAGGTCTCCCCCTCCCTGAACGTCCTCCTCGTCGAGAAGGAGGAGTACCTCGGGGGCACCATATCCAGGGTGGGGATGGAGTCCGTGTCGTGGTGGATGTACAACGACGCGGTCAAGAGCGACGGCCTGGTGAAGGAGCTCGAGGACCTCGCGACATCGATGCAGGGGACAACGACGTTCCCTTACAACGAGGGGCTGAACCTGACGAGCGAGCCCTTCAAGAGGGTCGCCGACGCCTTCGTCACGAGGCACGGCGTCCGGTGCCTGTTCGCCACCTGGGTGGCGGACACCATCGTGGAAGCATCGCCGGGCAGCAGCAGCGGCGACCCAGTGCCTTGCCTCAAGGGCGTCTACGTGGAGAACGTCGCGGGGAGGCAAGCCATCTTGGCCGAGAGGGTCGTGGACTGCACGGGGAACGCGGACGTGCTGCATCGTGCGGGCGGGAGGTTCACCGTCCTTCCCGTGGATCAGCGCATGGGCATCACCCAAGTGTTCAGCGTCTCGAACGTGGACAGGGAGAGGTTCCTGGAGTACACGGAGAGGAAGGCGGCGACGTACAACAACTGGGGGAACGACGGCGGGCCCAAGGTGTGCGAGACGGAGTGGAAGCAGGAGACCCAAGGCAGCGAGGGGGAGCTGAGGACGCCGTACCTGGAGCGCGAGTTCCAGGAGGCGGAGGTGAAGGGAATTGTGCCCAAGGTAAGTTCAGGGTCAGGGAGAGACCACGCCACGCGCCCTCGTCTTGTCGAGCCTAACACACACCTCACGTTCGTTGTTTGCTGTCTTGAACACACACACACACACACACACATTACCGCACAAACACCGTTGCCTCTCAAAAACCTAAAGGGCTCCAACATCAACGGGAGCTGGTCGACCCTGACGCACGACGGGGAGCTCCTCAACCTCAACCTGGTTCACATGCAGGGCGATGCCCTGGACCCTTGGGACATGTCGGAGATGGCACAGGTGGGCCGAGAGAAAGTCGGCGAAGCCATCAAGGCCCTGAAAACGATTCCAGGATGTGAGGACGCCAAGCTCAGGACGTTCTCCAACAACCTCGGGGTGAGGGACTCGAGGAAGTGCGTGGCCAAGTACAACCTGAGCGGGGAGGACGCTCTCGCGGGCTCCAGGTTCGAAGACTCCGTCTGCGTCCTTCCCCAGATCGTGGACGGTTACGGAATTCTGGTCTTGGGTTCCGAGGGCGGGGAGGTGGAGGTTCCTCTGAGGGGCTTCCAGTGCGACGTCGACAACCTCATGGTGGCCGGCCGGTGCTTCGCGGGCGACCACGTCTCGCACTGCCTGACGAGGAACATAAAGTGCTGCATGCTCACTGGGCAAGCGGCCGGGGCCATCGCCGCGACCTCCTTGAGGACGAAAACGTCGGTTTGGAACGTCAGACCCCAGGACGTCAGAGAAGACCTGACTCGAGTTGGGTTCAGGTGCGATGCGCACGAAAAGTAAAGCAAACGACGAGCACGGCTCATCCAGTAACAGCAAAGCTTGAGACAAGATGCTTCTCATAATGCACACCATCGCGCTCCCAATCTTCGTCCTCGCGTTCCTCACCCTCTCCTCTCACCTCCTGGTGTCTTGGCCACAAACCTGGGAGAAAAAAGAGAAAAAAGATTGAGATCTCCCGGGCAATTTGTGGCCAGGAGAAAAAGTTCCCCGAGGAGCGGAGGGGAGCGGCGAACGAAGAGGACGAGAGAGAGAGAGAGAGAGAGAGAGAGAGAGACGGAGAGGATGACGACGGTGACGACGACAAGGCTGGCGGGCAACGCGACGACGCGCGGCGTCACCGTGCCCACGCGCAGGCTCAATGTTTTCACCACCACCACCACCACCAGACTTTTTTGGGGGTCTCGGTCTCATCTTGACAACAGGAACAACACTCGTGGTGGTCGCGCGAGTGCGGTGGTCGCGAGCAGGAGGAGCGTCGGGGTGAGGGCGGTTGCCCCTCGCGAGGAGGGCGAGGCCGAAGCCAGCGCCGTGGCCAAGCAGCTCGGGCAGTCCGCACTGGTGGCGCTCTCTGTCATGTCTGTGGCGCCGGACGCCTTCGCCAAGGGCGGGGAGTTGGGAATCCTCGAGGGGCGCACGATCGCGCTCCTCCATCCGGCGATGATGTTCGCCCTCTTGGGTGCCACGGGCTACATCGGCTACCTGGGCTGGCAGTGGCGCAGGGTGAGAACCGTGGGGGACGAGATAGCGGAGCTGAAGAAGGAGGCCAAGACGATGGCGAAGAAGGCCGAGCTGGTTACCGCGGGGGCCGGGGGCGCGGTGGAGGAGAGCGGGGAAGCGTCCGTGGGGTCCCCCCTGGACGCGACGATAAGCGAGCTCCAGGTCACGAGGAAGAAGCTCATCGAGGGCAAGTTCAGGGACAAGCACTACGTTTGGGGCTCGTTGCTCCTGGCGGCCGGGGTGACGTTCAGCATAGAGGGTGGGCTGAACACGTACTTGAGGACGGGAAAGCTGTTCCCGGGTCCACACCTCTTCGCCGGAGCTTCGATGACGGCCATGTGGGCCATCGCCGCGGCCCTGACACCGGCCATGCAGAAGGGAAACAAGCTGGCGAGGGACGCCCACATTGCTTTGAACGGCCTCACTTTCCTCCTGTTTCTTTGGCAGGTTCCAACGGGTTTGGAGATCGTGGGAAAGGTCTTCCAGTTCACCAAGTGGCCTTGAAGATGGACTTCCCCAGGCAAAGCCTCGACCACACACACACACACAGAGTTTTTAGGGATAGGAAAGCGGTTCCCATAATCTATAAAAAACGCACACATGTAAAACACACTTCACTTCTTTTTATCATCTTTGCTGTCCGCGGGCGCGGCCTCCTTCCCTGCCTGCGTCGACGGCGGGGTGGTGACGATTGGTTCCGCACGCCGGGCGGGCGACCAGAGACACGCGGCGGCGAGCAAAAGTCGTAAAGCAGCTATTAAAAAATCAGGAAAATAA